GGATTTTTGGATCACTAGGGCAAGAATTTGAGCTTTGGAATTTCCTTCCTCGCGTCCCCTGAAGAGCCTCTGCTCTCTGTCCAGAAAAATGGAACCGAAGAAGATGATGATGTAAATAAATGGACGGGGGAAGTTAATACATATGCGGCCCGGCCGCTTTATATATATATAATTAATACGTATACTTATCCGATCGATCGATAATCCAATTTTCGCCGAAATACTATCAAAACGCTCGATTTTAAATCGCGAACATTCTAGCGATCGAAATATGGGTTTTGCCGAAATGAAATGTTACCATTCTCTCCTCCTTAAAAGATTTCGTCCCCGAAATCTAACCTTGAGTTGTACCCTTAGTCCGCTTACTTATTCTTAACATGGTCTATCGTAGATAAACCATTACATAACTCTTAGGTTAGGAGATATGAATTACAATACTAAACACATAACACCTCAAGTTCCCATTTTTAGGTTTCAAAAACCTATACTGGGCTATCACAACAAAAACACATCAACAAGTTCAAAACATAACTTACTAAGCAAGATTGTTAACCTTTAAAGTAGGTCGCTACCAACTCAGGGTACTTCTCTCGCATACTTGCTTCAGTCTCCCAGCAAAGCCCAGAACAATCAAATGCAACCCATATACAGATCCATGCAACCCCAAATTCAATAAGTATAGAGTTGATACCCAACTCTAGATTCACCGCTGGTGACTTCAGGAAAAGCATAACTCGAAGACTCATTCTCGCTCTTTTCCTGTATCCCAAATTCACCATCAACGTAAGTTCGGCCACAGTAGGAAAAATTGGACTTCGGTGGCAGCAACGAAGGAGGACGAAGAAGACTCATTCTTCTAAATCCGCAGCAGTCGGCAGACCTTCAAAATCGCCCTCATCCCAGTCGACGAAGCTGGCAATCATAGTAGTAACCGGAGTTGATGAATCTGATTTTGATTGGGAGGTATCTGAATCTGAAATAGCCGACATCGTCTTCATCAGCTTCGAAGCCCTTGAATTGCGAATCGCAGGAGGCAGACTGTAGGAGGAGGAACGAGAAGTGGGAGAGGAATCGATCGATAATTCTCCCTATTGTCGTCACCGTCCCTGTCGCTGCCAGAGGAGGAGTCGCTGCCGCCAGGGAAGCCTTCGTTTGCCATCGCAACCTAGGCTTGAGCCTACTCAATCTAACCTACATAAAAAATGAATCCAAAGATTGCATATTTAACATCCGCCTCTCACTGGATTTTTATTTCGGGCATAAGAATCAAAGAAGAGGTGAAGAAGATGAAAAAAGGAAGAAGAAAAGGCGAGATGAGAGAGGCAAGGGGTATAATCGGTCTGTTTAACAAAAAATGCGTTATTTATAATACCTAAAAAACGGGTTATTTCCAAATAACCCATGCCCAAATAACTCATGCCCAAATTCTAAACCCAAATGAGTTATTTGGAACCAAATAACTCATAATGACCTATCCAAACGAACCCCCTAGAGTTTTTATGCCTTTATCTATGTTAATTATGCTTCAAACTTGTCTCTCTAATTCTTTTCATGATAACCTACTACTTAGGATTTTATGAATTAGATTGGATTTGAGTGGTTTGGTATGTTAGTGTAGATGAATATTTAATGGTCTAGGAATCTAGTATGGTGGATGAGGCGACCGTAATCCTTCATATAAGACGTCCATCTAGGTAAAGCTAGGGTGTCGAGTGCGTGAGCATCAACTCGATGGCCTACTATGCGGATTGGTAGAACCCATTTAAAGGATATAGGTTTGATCCATACAACGAGAAGCTAGCTGAGGTGACATTGGACCAGTGGATCGGTGTAGGAGGGGGATTAGTTGCATGACTATTGAGCCAATCCCTAGATCAGCGATCTTTGCACCTCGATTACCATGGATCGTCTTTCTGTCATTTGCATGTTATCTCTAGTGGTTAAGGCGAGGGAGGCACTCCAAGTACCTCTTCCATCCTATCATTTTCTAGTTCATTGATCTCCAACTTCCCTCCTGCTAAGTAACAGGTCGACTAGATAACAACCGAGCCTAAGTAGCCTAGGATATTGTGACCCGTGAAATACGACCATGCCACATTACTACATCCCTAGCATAGTTATACTTGGCTTTGTTAGGATTGACGTGAGTTTGCTTCGAGTATTACAAATTTTAAAGATATCGATTTGCTCCATCCTTTCTGAATACCAGCGGTTCTTCGAACTATCCTTACAAGAACTACCTCCCAGTCACGGTTGAGGAGGTTCTTGAGAAGGTCGATAGTAGCGATATGGTGATGGATCGGGGGCTCCTTACTTTGGACAAGCTGAACGGCCCATAGATAGTCGATCTCCATACAGACTCGCCTGTACCCCAAATCAATTTCAAGTCAATTGAAGCCATTCCACAATGCCACTCAACTCAGCCCGAGTGACAGAGCAGATCCCTAGGTCGATAGTGAACACTGCTGATAACGTCGTATTTGCACATGTGTGCACCCTCGTTTCTTGATCATTTTGGCTTGAGTTTTTGATTTCTTGGACTATTTTACGCTAGGTTGTGTTCCTTTGTCACATTTCAGGTCCTAGCATACAAAGTGAAACCTAGGCGCAAGTTTTAAGTCAACAGGAGATCAATTGGCGACTTGGGGTGAGAAACTCGGGAATGACTTGAGGAAGAATGGATTCCCACCTCATTTTATTGACAAAGATCAACGAAGCTTAGGAGTGCATGCTGGAAATTGGGCACGGCCGTGTAAAATTTTGCACGGCCGTGTGAGTTTCCCAGGGGGTTTGCACGGCCAAAACCTCAATTTTCACGGCCGTGCAAGTAGGGGGGTGCGAGTTTCAGTGGGTATAAAAGCTGTTTTGCGATTTTTGGAGGGAGAGCTGGGTTTTGGATCCCAAACACCCAAGGGACGAACCAAAGAGAGAGAGGGTGATCTAGAGCCATTCTTGGAGCTATTTTTTTAGGGTTTCTTCACCATTGGGGCTCAAGAATCAAGCTTGGAGATGGATATTGAAGATCCAGATCAGATTTCTGCAGTCTCTCTCTTCTCTATGGAGTAACTTCCCTTCACTTAGGTTTTGAGGAACCCTAGTTCCATATGTTAGGATCTTTCTTGTATGAAGTTTTGGATGCTATATTGTGCGATTATAATCGATTGAGGCATGATTTATTGAGTCAATTGAATCATGCTCAAATTCTCTTGATTTCTGCTTTAACCTTTGATAGATAGAATCTGATTAGGTTAAGAGAGCTTCCTTGATTGATAGTAGTGAATTGGTTGTGAGAAAATCAGTCAATTCACTGCTTTGTACTGGAATTCATTCCAGTAGTGGATATTTGTGTGAATTGCCTTAGCAGTCTATCCCGGTGAAGGCTAGTCGCCTGCCGGGTATTCTGTCTAAGAGCGCTTGGTCAGCTTAAGAGATTCCAAGCTAATTTAGGATCTTCCGTAGTTTAATCAATAGTAAAACAACCATAGGAATTACAACTTGGACCTAATTGAGGAGCTAGGGGGAATCATACCTAAGTGAGTTCCCAAACTATAATCAATAGTTTTACTTAGTTTAGTTAGTAGAGTAGTTTAGTTAATCAATCCTTAATCTGATTTGCTAGATAATGAACTGAAGCTGAGTAATAGCACATCTAGAGACCCGAAGATTCGATATTTATTACTTGCACCACTATACTGCAGTCCCTTTCATTGGTTACACTTGGCCATTGTTAGGTGTTGTGTCTTAGCGTGTCAACTGCAATGCAGCGCCCTAAGTTATCTCTAATGAGACCCCCACCCGCAGCATGGCTGGAGGCATGACAAACAGAGCCGTCAGAGTTGATAGTGATCCACTCTTGAAGAGGCGGCTTCCACGAAATCCACTCCTCCGTTCTTGCAGGCGAACATGGATGTAGAATGTACCCGACCTTGTCCATGTCTTTCCTCACGATAGTTATCCAAGCTAGGACGCACCGAGTGAAGGCTTCAACTGAGACGACATTGTTTGCGAAAACTCGATCGGTCCTGGTCCGCCAAAGGGACTAATCATGGCCACCTGTTAGACCGAGTTTTCATGCCATTTCGACGTTTGATCCTGATTTACTATACTGGACCTTATATGATGTTCATGAGATCTATAAATCCCATATGATATGGAATGAAGGATAAAATTCTATGGTTCCATTTATAATTTTTTTATCTTATCAACTCACGTTAAGAGAAAATAACTCAAGTGACTAACTAATGATGCTGACTACTGGCTAGTGGTCTCACTAGCAATCGGTGAAAGAGTGAGTTGGATGCTCGTATGCCGAACAAGTGTGCGCGTGATCGAAAAAAACGGAGTAGTAAATAGGAATGAGGCGGGTCGGGTCAGGTCGACCCAATGGGTATGTAGTTTATGTGAAAAACATTAGAAATATTTTTTATTTTCATTTAAAAGACCAGGAAAGAAACCATAATATGATAAAATCTAGTTAAATTATACAAGAAATTGAGGTTTTCACTTAATTGCAACTTTATTATAGCTAAAATATAATGTAATAAGAGGAAAATTTTAAATAATTTGACTAAGATTATATGTAATTTAGACAAGAACGAGTCGAGAATGAGGCGGGTTAAGGCAGATCGGATTGATGAGAGGTACCCATACGAGTCTGACCCACTCAAAACAGACCAAACAAGTCAGATAAATTGGGTAGTCAAAATTGCAATACAATAAAAGGAAAGTGACGAACAAACAATATGTAAGTAAGCAGAATAAGTAGCAGCAGTAGAAACAACAGTTTAACTAGTTAAACTCCTCCGCCAGTGTACCGCTCGCTTATCATTCCCCTCTCCCCCGTCGGCGTAGGTCACCGGAGAGCTTCAACAAACTATTGGAACTCCAAAATCTGGTGCCTACTCGTCCTACTACTCCTCCCTCCCGATTGCATCGCCGCATGCTCTCTTCCCTCCGCCAACGAGGTCCCCGTTAGCAGCCCCAAACCCTCGCTCTTCCCGATGAAGGACCGGCCGCCTTCATCCTACGGTGCAGTTTACGTTCCGCCACACCATCGCCTGCGGTCCGTCATCGTTGCCCCGAATTTCAACTCCTCCTCTCCATCTGCTCGTTTGGTGGATTCCAGAACCACTGATACTCGAACCGCTGCTCTCAGCCGTAAGTTCAGTCCATCTCCTGCACTCTTCCACGCGCACGAGGAGAAAAATGGCGGTACCGAGGGTTGTAAGAAGAATTTGATTAGGAAGATGCCTTCCGCTTACAGCAATGCTGGTTCCGAGGACGGGTCCGATCACGAGATGGAATCCTTCGCCGTTCAGTCAGTGAGTCCTTTTATCTCTTCCCCCCCTTCCCATCACTTCCATTTTTTCAGGTGCTATTTTCGTACTAGTAACGATTTCATCATCAGTGTTTTTCTGTTTTGAATGGCGATCAATGAATTGCAAGTTCATCCACTCAAAATGAATGAAGTGTATTGTGTTGTGTTGAACTTCATATGGTCGTTTTACTGCGACATTTAAATCACAGTTGCGGGGGCGAGGGGGGGATTCTAGATTCTGCTTGGATATAAATCATGATCCTCTTAAATCCGCTTGTTAATCTTGGTTCTGATTTTGTTTTGTGTTCGTGCACCTTAATGTTGATCTTCATCCTTGGTGCCATTATGCTTAAAGGTTTTGCTCTCGAAGTTGGTGGCCTCCAAGCCACATGCAGCGTGTTTGGAATGGCTTCTAGTGATGAATCCGCCATTTGCTTCATTAGCAGTACACTTTGATTTGAACTCATGTTTTGATAGCAGAAAGTGTAGTACCCTAATCTTATTTCTACATCAGACTAGAATTAGCATACACTTATTGTTGTTTAGTTAGCTCATTTAGTCACGAGTTATCTTTTAGGCATGAGACATGCTCCGAGTATAATTCCATGGATGTATTCATCTTTGATGATTCTAAGTCATTCTGAGTTGTAGTTTGGAAAATATTTGGAGCAAATCACGAAATAATCTAATGACCCAAAGAACAGAGGGCAATATTGGATATTGTTATTTCTTTACAACATGCATAAGAAAGTATACAATTTCGGCTCTGTTTTTATGAGCTGAAAATATTCTCTCTACCCTAACCTAGTCATTCTTACAGACTTGTGTGGTTCATTTCATTCTTACAGAATATTCTCTCTACCCTAACTCGTGACTTGAATAGACACTTGGGAGTGAATTAGCACTCACTTTGTCGCTGGATTCTCTTGGAGTTTTAATGGTTGTGACATACATTATGAGAACATTCGATTCTCTAGTTTGTATTGTCCCATTGGATGGATGTTTCTCCTCACTTTCTGAACTTACAAGATCATGGTTTTTCCGACTATGCATATTGTTGACTGGTTAGAAGCCTGATTTTCAGGGTGCCTCTATCTCAGATTGCATCGAAGAGTGGAAGTGGAAATTTACAATGCTGTTGCGCGACAAAGTGAAGCAAGAAGTGGTATCAAGGGAGAAAAAGGACAGACGTGATTTTGAGCAACTAGCAGTTTTGGCAAGCAAAATGGGGTTGCATAGGTATATTTATTTTTTTTAGAAGTGCTCCTGATCCTCTGTTTTGTACATCTCATCGCTCTGCACTGGCTATTGAAACTATTTACTTCTTTTGGTTCGGCAGCCATACCTATGCGAAGGTTGTTGTCTTTAGTAAGATCCCACTACCAAACTACAGATTTGATTTGGATGATAAGCGTCCTCAAAGGGAGGTATTTCTCGTGGTTTTATAGCTACTTTTTTGTGTTTTTTTTGGGTAACTGTTGCATCAAATAATATCTTAAAGTTCTTGTAATCTTCCGGAGCTTCTAGTTTCTCAACACCTCTTGGCTCTCTTTCATTTTTCAGAGTGAAACTTCTATGTGTTTCTAATGGTTTAAATGACAAGTATTTTTCCTGCTAGATGACTGGAAGGTGACCAGGCTGCTCTACGTTTGGTGTTTTTGAAGGTTCATAGCCTTCATACATGGGATTTACGAGTGTTTAATTGAGCTTCCCTCAAATGCAGGTTAGCTTGCCTCTTGGTCTGTTAAAGAGAGTAAATGCCTATCTTGGAGAGCATCTCTTCCAGAAGTCCAAGACTAAGGAATGCTTTCCAGATATTGCATCTTCTAGATCTAGCAGTAGCAGTAGCCTTGGTACTGATGAAGGACTTTTCGAGCAACCAGACCCGCTGGCTGCTAGTGCTAGCAAGATTGTGACGGAGAAAGTCTTGCGTCGAAGAAGTCAGCAGTTGTATGATCAACAACTGTCTTGGCAGGTTCATTTAGTTTCCAAACACGGAGCTTCGCTGAGTCTAATTTGTTATCTTTGTGGATAATTTTTGTTCCTAATTCTTGAGCTTCTGTTTGCTGTGCAGTATTTTTGTCGTTTTGTGCTGCATATAATTAATAGGCAACAAGCAACTTGTTTAATTTTCTAAGAAACTAAACCAGATCATTATGTCGCTGAGTATCCATGCAATAGTCTGTTGTCTGTAAGCAGACATATGTTCAATAACTGTCCAGTATTATGCTGTGCTTCAGTGAATAGAAAACAAGGGTTTCTTCCTTTCGCCCGAGCTTCCCAATGAGTTACAGATAACAGAAATCTAGGGATCTATCTTGAAAGAGATATCAAGAAATACTGTCCTTTTATAGTCATAGATATCGGTATCGTGATGAAATGTTGTTCGGTTTCGCCTTCTCAAAGATGTGGAACTTTAGATTCATCCTGCCTGGTTTGATTCTAGAATAGCATTTTGCTCGCGTTCACCACTGGGTGGGCTGAGACTAACTATTCTAGTTACTGGCTTGGTCCTCAATGTTTGTGATCATGTGCTTGCTCTTAGCATGATCCTGGGACTTGCGGAAGAACATTAAAAGTGCCAGCTACTGATTTCATATCTTTTCCTGCTTAATGCAATGAATCTTGTTTACGAGCTTAGTTTGTGAGTGGATGTGATAGTCCTAGTTCGATTCAAGCGATTGCTTGTGGGTACATAGACTGTTATGTTGTTGCTTGGTAACTCTCTTTGCCAAGGTGCCCTCATTGCCCTGAATTGATACCGCAAGTTATCCTGATTCTTTTGCAATTCATTAGGGGTCTCCAGAAGGTAGAAAAATGATGCAGTTTCGTAAAAGTCTTCCTGCGTACAACGAGAAGAATGCGATATTGACAGCTGTTTCAGAAAACCAGGTTTGTACTCCTGCATCAACCCTACATGCTTGAATGCTTCGGGAATCACCATGAGGATTACTTAACTCTGCAAACTTGCTGTTTTACATGTTTTGAATTTGTTAAAATGTTCCATCTCTTCTTGTTTCCTTCCCTGTTCACTGATCTCTATAAATAATTTCTGGGTTAGTCATGTTTTTTCTTCGTGGTTTTGTATTCCGGAAGTTTTCTTGATGTTCATAAATTAGTTGCTCGTTGTATTCTAACTTGTCATTCTTGAATGCAGCTACTACATTACTGTTGAAGCATGGTACTGACATTGCATGACGGTCCTAAAGACTTAATTTCCCTTTTCTCGTTATGGGTGCAACCATTTCTACTGGTATTTAGGATTGTTTTCTGTGAGGTGGTGTGATCCAAGGGCTGCTTTAGTGGGGACTGCTAGATATTAAAAGATGAACATTTTCTCATCGAAAGGCTTAGTGTGAGGTCCATAAGTGAGGTTTCATGCTCTCAGGAAGGATTTCATATTATGAAGTTTACCAGATATTTTTTAACATGTTTAACTGTAACCAGATTAGAAAGATTAATGTGTCATAGCCATGATGAAGAGCTTGTTCTATTTGTCTTCATTCTGGTCTACTGGTCGTCTGATGTTTTCTGTAGACAGAAACATTGTTACTATGTATTAAGGAGAAAGAATGACTAGAGGAGAAAGGACTTGACAACTCAAAACCATAACTAATATGACAGTGCTCTCTGAGCTGTATTGCCTTGGCGCTAAAGAAATTCATTAATGTATTCACCGGTCCTTGAAATTGCAGTTTGTAAGACTTTAGTACTCCAGATTCTAGCATTCTCTCCAGTGAAGCAGTCAACTGGTGATAAGTCATCACCATCCAAAATGATTGTCTTTGGTTTGACATCTCTGACCCTCATCAGTGTTCAACATCATATCCTCGGGCACAGCCCATTTTTCTAATGACGTTACCATCCTATAATAAAACTGCAAGATGACATTGCTTATGCAGTGTAAGTGTGGGTTTGATTTCTCGGTGCTTGTTTGTTTCAATGGTCTACACCTATCAGCTTGTTGCCGAGCTTCGTAAATTATAGTTTATAATATATTGAATGCATACCCATTTAAGACCTATGCCTCCTCTACATATTTTGAAATTAGTAGTTTCATGTGTTTAAGGATTCATTTAACTTTGTACTTTATAGGTTGTCATTATATCAGGCGAGACTGGTTGTGGAAAGACAACACAGATTCCTCAGTTTATCTTGGAATCTGAAATAGATGCCGCCCACGGAGCTTCTTGTAGTATTATATGTACACAACCGAGACGAATATCTGCAATCTCTGTTTCCGAACGAGTTGCCACGGAGAGAGGCGAGCAACTAGGAGAATCTGTAAGTTTCTTTCCTGATGTGAAATGTAGGCATATACTAGCTCAAATCAAGATCCTTATTGCGTTATCAATTCAAAAAATGATCGCAGATATTTATGATTCTTTACCTGTTTTACAAAGGTTGGGTATAAAGTTCGGCTTGAAGGTATAAAAGGCAGGGAAACACGCCTCCTCTTTTGCACAACAGGAATCTTATTGAGAAGATTACTTGTTGATAGAAGCTTGAAAGGGATATCCCACGTCATAGTTGATGAGATTCATGAGCGTGGAATGAATGAGGGTAAAGAGTTAGTTCTTCTTGTATTTTGTTAGGAACTTTTAAGGAATCCAATTCTGACTGGGTTTAGTTTTTTCAGATTTTCTGCTTATTGTTCTTAAAGATCTGCTGTCGCGTCGGCCAGAGATGAGGCTGGTTCTGATGAGTGCAACCCTAGATGCAGAGCTTTTCTCATGCTACTTTAACAAAGCTCCTGTTCTCTGTATTCCAGTAAGTTACTGTACCCCAGTATCATTCTTATGGCTTTTATCAAATTATATTAACAAACTTGTGTACCTTTTCTCAGTTGCATCTCTTCGTCCAGCAAACCTTTGTTTGTATTTGGTTACAAGTTTTGGCGATTCAGTCTGTTGAACAACAATTGTTAATCGATCATCAACATCCTTCTGACTTATTATTGGTTGATGCTTTCATGTTATTCTATTGGTGCATCTTGGATTCTTGGTCTCGTGGCTTGATGGCCGTGGGAAGTTTCAGATGTTCAATGCAATTTTTCTAAGCCTGTAAAATGGTGTAGTTCGATGTTAAATTATTGCCTGCACATTTTGGTTGCTTGTTTGTGTGTGAGCTGGAGGACATTATGCTAGTTTTTACTTATTTTTGTGAGGACTTTGGGTCAAGTTCTTGGCGTAGGTTTTAGTAAGGAGAAGACACCGGTAATGTTAAGAAGTTCCGAGTGGAATAAGTTTTTAATTTTTGTTGATTTAAATTATGGAAGGAATTGAATCAAGTGATTTTTCTGAAAGGTTTTTCTTGCATGAAGATGAGTTTATCCTTTTGTTTGTGGATTGCATCTACCGTCTTCTGTTTGGTGATAATTTCGTTGACTATTGGCTGTCGTGTTTGATCCTAAATTGTTAAATAAAAATCATAGCGTATACTATCCAAATTTTTCTAGAATTTTTCCTAGTTATAAAGGTGTAACGTCTGTGTGAATTTAGGGCTTTACATATCCAGTACAAACTCGTTTCCTAGAGAATATCCTGGAGATGACGGGTTACAGATTGACTCCATACAATCAAATTGATGATTATGGTCAAGAAAGGGCTTGGAGAGTGAGCAAGCAAGGCCCAAAAAGGAGGAAGAGTCAAATTGCGTCAGCAGTTGAGGTACGAATTATAGATATCACTGTTTCTATTTTGAATGTTTGGTATCATTGTTTCTTTGTGTCTGAGCTGGGAAATTTGCTATCAGGATGCACTCAGAACAGCTGACTTCAGGGAGTACCGGAAAGAGACTCAGGATTCACTGACTTGTTGGAATCCTGATTGCATCGGTTTTAATCTGATTGAGCATCTATTAAGTTTCATATGTGAGAATGAGAGACCTGGTGCTATTTTAGTTTTTATGACTGGGTGGGATGACATAAATTCTCTGAAGGAAAAACTCTTAGCTCATACAATCTTAGGAGATCCCACTCGAGTCCTGTTGCTCACTTGTCATGGGTCTATGGCCAGCTCAGAGCAGGTAACATTAGCTAATTTGTTTTGAACCATCTGCAGTGTTATTTGGTGTCGTGAAGGCTGATTTTTATTACAAAAATAAATTGTCCAGCTGCATAGACAGCAGATCCATCTGCAGAGATGAGACTTTTCTGCTCTGTTATTTATTTGTTTTATTTATGAATAAGTAAGATAGATCTCTTACTTACCAATAAAGGAAAGTCTGACTTGAGCTGTATCTGGTCTGATTATCACTGTGAAATAGGAGGAACTTTTCAGTGTTTATTGCATATTACTGATTGAAAAGGTTAAAGTATTTGATAGTGTATATATGTTCTGAGAAGACCTATCTGGAATATATGCAGAGGTTAATATTTGACGTGGCTCCAGATGGTGTGAGAAAAATAGTGCTGGCTACCAATATTGCTGAGACAAGTATCACGATCAATGATGTCGTTTTTGTTATTGACTGTGGGAAAGCTAAGGAGACTTCTTATGACGCACTTAATAATACTCCTTGTCTGCTCCCTTCATGGATTTCTAAAGTTTCTGCTCAACAGGTAAGTTGTTTTTTTTGTGTGTGTTTGAGAAATATGGCTGTACAAGTTCGTGCAGTTCACCTATCTTTTGTCTATTCTGCAAAATTTTCTTGTTTATCATTTTTTATCTTTATCTTATCTTAATCTTAATTTAATCTTAGAAGGCTTTAAAAAGTTAACTTATGCCACATCAGCATTTCTGAAAATCTGTCCATTGATGTCATGGTTATTTTTAACGATTTGGCTAGTTTATGTCCGGGATATAGTATTTCAACCATTACTGATGAAAGACAAGCTAACCATGGGATTTAAGGATTTGGGGAAGTGAGTCTCAGGTTTTCGCAATAAGGGTGAAAAGCTAAACTTGTGCAACTTGTTACGTGACAATCCCTGGAAATTTATTGATGGAGATGGCTGTATTTCAGGCATGAGATAACATAAGACGTAATTAATGGTGCCATGGGAACGAATTTGCTGCAGCATCTCGGGCACCAAGCACATTAATAAATTTTCCGTTTTCAAAATATATGAGAAGTATTAGTTCTTGGCAAGAACTGCTGAAGCGTGATGCAGTCTTCACAAATGTTTCTGTTTCTTGTCCCATTGACCACTTCAATCATTGGTTACTGTGGGAGTTGCCCCATATAAATAACAGGGGTTACAAACAAATCCTTCTTCGGGTCCAAAGCATGGCAAAAATATGCAGACTAAGTTCTTTGGCAGTCGGTCTTTTCAGAAGGTTCTCCTTGCTCGGTATTTGCTTGGAATGAGTTAGACATACCCAAATTTTTTAGATGATGGCATGATACAGTTTACCTTTGTGTGATGAGTACTCCCCAGGAATATAGCTATAGCCATGTTCTAAGAAGCAAAGTTACGCATGCGATCAATGGATTACTTGAAACAAAAACAAAAATTAGCCCATCATCTGAAGGCCATTGTGCTATTCATTTAATCACATAAAACTTTTGGAATTTATGTTTCTTGCTATGACTACCTACTTCTACTGTCTGTTGCTTGGTATCTGGTGTAAGTGGTGATGAAGTGTTATGCTTTTCGACACCCACATTCACTGCATACGTTTATTTTCTTCTTTTTTCATCTCATGTAGAGAAGAGGGAGGGCAGGGCGTGTTCAACCAGGAGAATGTTACCATCTCTATCCCAGATGTGTATATAATGCTTTTGCAGAGTATCAGTTGCCAGAAATATTGAGAACACCTTTACAGTCTCTTTGTTTGCAAATCAAGAGTTTGAAACTAGGAAGTATCTCTGAGTTTCTATCTCGCGCTTTGCAATCACCTGAATTACTGGCGGTATATGAATCTACTTTCATGGTTCACATTAGTGTTAAATAAATTCTTCTTCCTATGCCATCGGATAAAATTTGATTATTCAGCTTTGGGTTTTCAATTTATAGGTTCAAAAAGCTATTGAGTACCTGAAAATTATTGGTGCCTTGGATCAAAACGAAGAGCTTACGGTTCTAGGTAAGTCTCTAGCTAACTCATATTGTCTCGTCGCTGACCCTGTAACGCTGATGTCAGAGATGTTGACATCAGTGTTCAATTTTCATCCTGCAGGACAGTACTTGACTATGATTCCTGTGGAGCCTAAACTTGGAAAGATGCTCGTATTGGGTGCAATCCTCAATTGCTTAGATCCGATTTTAACAGTCGTTTCGGGACTAAGCGTTAGAGATCCTTTCTTGATGCCAATCGATAAGAAGGATGTAAGTCATCACAATATTCTGTATTGTGTCTTGTTTGAATTGTTTGTGTGAAGCTTGGATAACATATTCTGCTTATGTACCTTTGTGAAGTTCTTGTCTGGTTCATCTTTGCTTTTTGTTTGCTATGACATTATCCCTTCTTTAAAATCTTTGTATTGCATAGATGAAGCGTGGGAAGCTCTATCCTAATGCAAGCAACCCCGATTTTTCGTAGTTGAAAAATGGGGAACATTTATTTTCTCTTTTAGGATAAGAGTCTGTTTGAAATCAGTGCCCTTACCTGGACAACCAAAGCAAATAGTTTTCTAATCATGATTTTAATGGTGATAACCAAACTTAACATGATGAACCTAATATCAACCATTCCCTCGATTTTGACAGATGACTGTTAAGTGTCAAGGTAGCACTTGAATACCTTGAAGGGTACATGCCATACCAAGGATTGGATGTTAATTAAAAGAAGTTGTTAGTCCCCTATAGTTTTGGTCAATTTTGGTCAGATGGTTGTTTTGCAATGATTCATAAGTCATTTCTTTCCTATTGTTTTGTAGTTTCATTCTTACTTTCGGAGATATTAGTGAAATATTTGTGATCTGCGTTTGATGTGGTGTCATTAGTAGATTCTGCTTTTGTTTTTGCTGGGTAGTTCATGGACCAAATTTGCAGCCATCTATCAGGAGCCAGTGTGGATTGACCACTAATTATTGTTAGTGAAATCTATGTCTGGACTATGTGGCCCTAATTCTATGGGTATTGGTCCCATATTTTCCTTTCCGTTCTATTCCCTTAGAAGGTCCCGAATATTAGGTTTGTAAAACCTTCTGTGAAAACCAATTTATTCTCATCTGCGATCTTGTAGCCATTCAATTGCTTGCTTATGCTATACTAGGAAGTTCTAGGGAGCCCAGTATACGAAGCTGGTGTCTAACGATGTAGAAGTAGTAGCTCGATTTTTTCCTGTAACTGACCAATCTTGGACTTTTTGGTAATCGAATCTGGAGAAGCTTTGGTCCATATATACATGCAACCGAGCTTTGTCACAGTAACTTGACAAGACATGCATAACACATATTCACCCGATGAATTTTCTGTACTGGGCCTGATTGCTTTCAATGCCATGTCTCTGCGGTACAGCTTGCAGAGGCTTCTAAATCTCAGTTTTCGCGTGACTATAGCGACCACATGGCACTTGTGCGGGCCTTTGAAGGCTGGAAATATGCTGAAAAAGAGTTTGCTGGCTATGACTATTGCTGGAGAAATTTTCTGTCTGTTCAATCAATGAAAGCTATTGATTCTCTCAGGAAAGAGTTCTACTCATTGCTCAGGGACACTGGCCTCGTTGATAGCAATGCAAATACTTGTAACGGATGGAGCCATGAGGAACACCTTATTCGAGCAGTTATTTGCTATGGCCTTTATCCCGGAGTGTGCTCTGTTGTGGTTAGTCATTCATTATTTCTTGAACAGCATTCTCATTGTTCCATGAAAGCGAAAATTAACATCCACTAGTTTGTAGCTCCAATCAAGTATAGTTGACAATGGCTTTCACAGAGTAAAATATTTAAATTTTAAATGCTTGTTCCAGAGCTTTGCAAAGGGGGAACAACCAGAGTATGATACCATAAGCTACTGCAATGTTGCTAGTCTCGACATGATGATGAATCGTTTTGATCTTTGATTATCTTTTACTATAACTAATACAACACATCCACGCAGCACAATGATAAATCATTTTCACTCAAAACCATGGAGGATGGCCAGGTGCTTCTGTATTCTGTAAGTTCCTTCTCTTTTTCTTCCCCTCCAACAAGTTAATGTTTTATGACTACCACTTGGTGAAAATGTTTACGTCTTTGCGTTCTTATGCAGAACTCTGTAAATGCTCGGGACTCTAGAATCCCCTATCCATGGTTGGTGTTTAACGAGAAGGTAAAAGTAAATGCCGTGTTCCTCCGTGACTCTACAGCTGTTTCTGACTCAACATTGCTACTTTTCGGTGGAAGCATAATGAAAGGAGATGTTGTAAGCAAAGCTCATCCTCTTGATTCATTGCAATCGTTGGTCTTGGTCATGCACTGTTCCTAGCCTGCATGTGTTGTTGACCTGTTTGCTGTGATTCACAGGATGGTCACTTGAAGATGCTGGGAGGCTATTTAGAGTTCTTCATGAAACCAGCAATGGCAGAAATGTATATGAACTTGAGAAGAGAACTTGATGAGCTGATTCAGGTCAAAGTAAGTCAAATGACATATTGGATAGCATGTGTTCTTGGTATCCAGGAGCCAGAGTCATTAATTTTGGTTATTGCTTTAATTTACAGCTATTCCATCCTACGATGAGCTTACATACGCATAATGAACTCCTATCAGCGGTACGATTGCTCCTTTCTGAGGATCATTGTGAAGGCAGATTTGTATTCGGGCGTCAGGTGTTGCTGAAGCCATCATCTGCTGCGGTGGCTACGGCAAAACCCAATCTGGTACCACTGGGTGACAGTGGGCCTGGAGGGGATAATCCCAAGAGTCAACTTCAGACATTGCTAACAAGAGCTGGGCATGCTACCCCGATATATAAAACAAAGCAACTGAATAACAACCAATTCCTATCGACTGTGGAGTTCAACGGCATGCAAATAATGGGACATCCATACAGCAACAAGAAGAGCGCGGAGAAAGATGCAGCAGCTGAGGCCCTGTCATGGCTGACGGGTGGATCCCAAACGGAACGCCAAGAATACATCAATCAAATGTCGGTATTGCTGAAGCGAAGCAAGACAGATCATTTCTGAAGATTAACTCTGCCTGTTTGCATTGTGTTGGAAAATTGAAGTGGATGTCATTGATCTAGTTCAGTTCAGACTGGCAGTATTTTGGAGACGGTTATTATCCAGGGCGCTGCACAGTGATGTAGATAGATAGAGTTAGGGAGGGATTCTGTTGAAAGCCCAACCCCCACCTCAGGTTGAGCTTCTTCTTATTTTCCCCTGCTAAATTCAGTTAATCAGTTTTCTTGCAACAGCAATAGGGACTTTATCTGTTAGCGATGACGACGCACGATATAACGGTTGAAAGCCTCTCATGTAATTAGTTTTAAGTGGATGGTATCGTTGGAAGTACCGTAATGGGGTGAATCTATCAGTTAGCTATGTAACGGGTTCTTTGGACTTGCGTACAAGGCCAGAAGCTTTGGACCACAGTGTGTTTCCAGATTTGAAGCAATATCAGTGCATATGGTTTGATGTAGCAGCCTCACATCCATGATGATGATGGTGATAATGACACTGCTTTTGAAGAATCAACAGAGACTACATACTTCTTGGATCTTGATCTCTGGAATTGAGAATGCACAATCTTGGATCTTGATCTCTGGAATTGAGAATGCACAATAACACGTAGAATTGACTATTTTAGACCTAAAGTGGATTCATTTCATATTTTTATCGTCAATAAATCCTAGGGTGGAAAATGACACAGTTACCGCTATTTGATAGAGTTTCTCTACTTTGTCAGAAAGTTATCTTAGAGCATCCTGATTCACTAGCCACGTGTTTGTAGGCTTCTGATTGGTTGGATGGCGCAAGAGCTATGAGTTTATCTCTCCATAAATCCTAATCGAAGACTCATAAATAAAGCTCTAGAGGTAAAACTCAGCGGAGGAGACGGGAGGTCAAGGAAGGGTCGTCACTTTGATGACAAAGCAACCCATCTGACTTAGAGTGAAAGTTGCCTCACGGGAGAAATCAGCACTAGAAACGATGGCCCTTAATCTGTTTTCTCTATTCATGGCACCAATTTTAGAGGTATTATGGGGACTTCATTTTTATCGATGCTCGCCTAGAAACTCTTCCCCATGGCTGGCTAGTTCCTGTAGTTGCGTAGGTCTGTGAACCCTAAGGGTTCTAGTCATGTAAAACTCGATGTTTGGCTCAATACGGTTGTTTTATTTCATATGTGTTGATGCTTTATTTCCTCTATGTTGTTATTTGTCGATTCAAATGATTTCTTAGTCGACCTTGCATTCTTCAAGGTACAAGGATCGAAATCCCATCGTGTAGTATTAAGACTAGAAATGACGGTCCTACTCGATCGATCCAAATTTGATTGAACGACATGAAACCTCAAGGAAGGAATCCGTAGGGTCCTTGTCGTCCATTAGTTCAGATAAATGCTTCAACACAATGTGAAATTTAACAAAATAAGAAATCAGTTGCTCTTATGTTGCCAGATATCGAAGGATACGTGACTAGGAGACCTAGGGAGCTCGCCTATGCAACACCTTCCTTCTATGCTCTCTCGTCCATCCAACTTAGTTGTAGATTTACTTTCCTCCAAACGTAGTTTAGTTTTTACTTTTGTTTTGCAAAAAGTGGAGGCACCTCAACCTCCTATGTCGTTTTCACTCACATAGAATCGTACATCGCCACCAAAGTAAGGGCTCTGCGAGAGGCACTAGGGAAATACGATCCTGGATTTAGGGTCCGCTAAATTTGGTCTACGCTACACGACACATCAAGGGGCTAGAGAAAGAAGCACATCAACAAAGTCTTGAAGGAGAAGAGGTAATTGCGGCACAGGATGAAGAGTGAAGACACAAATACCATCTATTCATGCCCTCAAAACTTCTTCGGAAGAACCAAAAATCTTGGAGCTTATGCGACATCCCATTACTTTGAAACTTGGAAAAAGACACTTCTACCCCGGGATATACTTAAAATTTTCAAATCACACAAGCTTAAAAATAAAAGTACCAATCTCAAATAACTTTGTACTTCAAAGAAAAACCCTAAATATGTGGGCAACTTAAAACGTGCTCTTGAACTAAACAAAAGAAACAAATCTCCAGTCTTAACTCATAAGCACAAAGTTTTAATAACTCAAGGAGTTTCTCTGATGCTTACTCCGACGCCTGGCTCGACATCTCACAGCGACGGTGGTGTTGAGCTCCTCTGTCCTGCTGGCCACGGACTGGCTGATCGCGATGCCCTCGTCTACGATCTGGTGAGTGGGTTGGGGTAAGTCTATACCCTTACGTTAAAAATCTATACCACTTTGTATTCTTCTTTAAATACTTAACTTCTACTAGTGGAAGTTGTTTTTACTTTCATTCTTAAAAATCTTAACTTAAATCTTTTGACTAACACAGGTAACCCTCTCTAGCTAGTCCGGTTGCCAACTCACATGTAGAGAGCCCATCCAAGCTTTCCTTAAACTTAAACTTATCGTGGAAGGCTCTTCTTCAACGATTCCCAAGAGCATAACTGCTGCTCATCTTAAAATATATCAAGAGAATAACTGCACGTAATACTTGAAAGAACATGTAAGGCGTAGAATTTACCTCATTTACACTCACATCTAAAGTGCCAATACTTTAATTCGTTGGACGTGGAGTCCCTTAACTTGACCGCTTTCTTAATCCTATACATCGAGATTAATTAGCCTAACTCAGTATTCCTATAAAAAATTTCGTTCTCCTAGCTTAGTCCCAAATTTCTATAAAAAGGACCCTGAACCTCTTTAAATAATTTTCTCAAAAACTGGAATTTTTCCCAAAATTTCCAGGACTTCAATTATTACTATCAACTCAAAATCAACTAAATAAATCTCATCAATTTACCAAAAAAATATTTTCTGTTACACCCTGATCTTGCCAAAAGTCAAAATGACTATTGTACCCTTGGGAAAATGAGTCAAAGTCCACAGTAATATTTAGGGGACTCAAAATGTGATATCTCGGTTAAAACGGTGTAGAATTTGGATTCAAAACGATGAAGTTATGAACGTAATGGAGTGTCGCGTCAAACCCAATCAACTGATTGGGCTTGGAATACACTGCAAGTTGGAGAAGGCGGCTGAGTGGGCCTGGGCTAGTGTTAAGGATGGCCCGGATTTGGGGGTTTAAAGGAAGGAGTGGGCCTCCTGGGTGGTTGGAGGAAGAGAGAGACGGGCTCGAGCTCGGGTTGGAGGACGAAGGAATGAATGGAGCAAGGAGATGGGCTTCAGGCCTAGGCGGAGGTGCGGATAGGCCAGAGCCCAGACGGGGAACGGAGGAGGTTTGTTCCTCTTGGATATCGACCGCAGAGAAGAAGAAAGAGAACAGAGGCAGCGTAGCAGCGATCTCCCCGGGAACCCCAATCTTTCTTCACAAGAGCCGCCGCCGCCATCCTTTCTCCCGGCGACGTGCGAAGCTGCAGAAGCAGCTACGAGTGACGGGTACAGGGCGGCGCTGAGTAGAGCTCGGACACATTAACGATGGGTGGCTTTTAAATCCCTCTCCGTCGACGACATCGGTGAGCACCCGGCGTCGACTTCGTTGACTTCAACCATACCTTTATTCGTGTGTATGGTCGCGAAGAGGACCATCTCAGGAGCATCCCGGTGTCGACAAAATTGCATTCCGACTTCGGACGAGGGAGAACCGAGCCTTCAAAGTTTGAGCAAAAATCTGTCAAGTTCAGGTACCACTGCGAACAATTCGAAAAGTTTGTGGATCATTTTGGTAATTTTACAGCAGGGTCGTGGTCAACTATGTTGACTGGAAAAATTGCAAGTTCGGTACCTGGAACTTTTAAGCTGACAGAATATTTATTTTGGTCATAACTCGATCAATTGACGTCCGAACGAGGAATCGTCAGCGCCTATGGAATCGTGAGAACGAGGAGAATTTAATTGGAGCAAGTGTGGAAATTTTTGAGCAGATTCAAAGTTGGTTTCGACGGATTAGAGGTGAGTGTAAAGGGGGTAAATTCTACGCCTTGCGTATTCTTTTAAGTTTTACGATTTCAAGTATTTTGGCGATGTGGTTACCGTTGCTTGTGAATGCTTCTGGTTGATTATATGTGTTCTGTTTGTGCTATGATTTGAAGTGAATGTGTATTATTGACCTTAAAGCTTTGTGTTATGGTTAATTATTAGAGTAAAGAAATAAGTTCTTTTTAAGCAGTAACTCACCTTCAAGAAGGTGAAGTCGTTTTAAGTGTTTTTAGTCACTAGCGCCAGTCCGTTGCCTTTTGAGTCATTTTGAGATAGAGCAGCAGTTATGCTCTTGAGACTTTTAAGATGAGCAGCAGTTATGCTCTTGAGGATCGTGGTGAAGAGCCACCACGATAAGTTTAAGATGTTAGAGGGAGGAATCGTTACGACTCCCCTAACTAAGTTTAAGTTTAAGGAAAGCCTTGATGGCTTCTCATACGTATGGGTTGGCAACCGGACTAGCTAGTGGGGGATCCCAGTGTCAGTCAAGTATTTAAGTCAAGATTTGAGCTTTAAGAATGGAGAGTAACTGTAACTCCCATACAGTTTAAGAGTTAAGCTTTTTAATAGTGGAAGTACAATACAACTCCCACTCAGTTAAGTAAAGTGATCAAGTATTAATAAAATGTTAAACATAAGGGCGTAGACTGACCCCATCTCACTCACCAGTTTGAAGAGCTAGAGGAGCTAAAGGAGCAGTTAGTGAGAAGCGAGTTCGAGGGCAGCCAGCTAGAGGAGAGCAGTATAAGCGTCGCGGAGGGTGCCTAGTTAAGATTTTCAGTAGCAGCAACGACACAGAGACTACCTAGTTATTTGCATTTTATGATTATGAGTATAGACTAGAGATCAGGTTGAATTTTAAAGTTTGAGCTTAATTTGCCCACGTGTTAGGGTTTTGCTTTGAACTACAAGTGTGTGTTTTCAGTATTTTATTTATGAAAATTTTTCCTGCTGCAATTTAAGATTTGAGTATTTTATTTATCAAGGGCATTTTAGTAAAAGTAGGACCCGGCCGGGTTAGGGTGTTTCATTTTGGTATCAGAGCCGCCCTGTACTCGTTGCTCGTCCCTGCTGCTGCAGCTTCGCACGTCGCCGGGAGAAAGGATGGCTGCAACTCCCACTCTGTTCCTTGGTCTCTAAGGAATACTGGAATATCAGTATCAGTTTTAAAGGTTTTTGTTTTGAAGGAAAGGAAAACGAGTCAAGGATCTTCTTTTAAGAGTTTATAGAATCTCCAGTCTACTCTAATCATATTAAGGTGAATAACTATGACGGCACGACACGAAGGGATAGTAGCTAGGGTGCGATTGTTCAAGAATAGGCTAGGACGCGATTTAGTTAACATGTCGTGGTTTGTCAAATGAGAGATTTAGGCATATGGTGATCTCCTGTAAGAAAGAAAGAATGAAAGAAACGTGACCAACCCAAGTAGAATCTCAAAGGCTCTCAAGACCAAGTATCTCATCGACATGATGGATAGTAGTTTTTCAATAAGTTAACCAACTACTTGAACGTTAGCAAATTGATCAACATCATCAACCTAGAGAAGGAAGGAGGAACGTTGCAAAGGTCTGTGGAGGTAGAATCAAATGTGCGAGGACTTCCACTCCAAACACCAGCAAAGAGGTGCCAATTGAAAGGGAATACCTCAAGGATTTTGAAAGAGTTGAGAGAGTAGTACGAGGATTTTACTACTAGGAAACAACTGGATGATCTAATAAGCTAAGACAAACAAAGTGGAGAAATATGAATCTCCAAAGGAAGAGGAATAATCACTAGATGTTAGTAGCTATAATGATGGGAGAATTTTAGGGTCCTTGACCCTAAGCAGTGGCGACTCAAGAAATAAAGAGGTACCACGAGAAGTCCCTCAACTAGTTTTAGTGGTCAACGCTATTACAACACAATGACAAGGAGCAGTGGAAAGCTTAAACTTCAAGAGAATCTACTATAGTATAAATGAAGTAAAGGAGGAAGTAAGTAGGCTAGAGGGGGTCTGAAGGATGTCAAAAGTCAATAGTTTAAGAAGGAGAGGAGGCATGGCCGTTTACATATGACGATGAAGGAACCCTTATAGATAATCCACGTAACTGGAGAAGAGGGTACATAACCCAAGGGAGTTAGGCCGATGACCAGCCTTTAGAAGGAACAAGACAAGCAACGAGATAAATGATGTAGAGGGAAAGTTATGGTCTCAGTACGACCACCATTGGACGAGACGTGGAGGAAAGTGCCACCAAAGTCTAAAGCATGCCTGGTAGAAGACAGTGGGGAGTCAATACATAAGAAAAGGCATGGAATGTGAGAGGGAATAACAGTTAGCTGGTAGATGGCAGTACGAATAGAGAATCACTTCTCAGAAGTGCGTGAGTTGGATACCAAGATAACACCAAGTTAGAAGGAGGATAGTAGAGATCCCACAAACTACCCAGATCACAAAAGGTCAGGAGGATGTTGGGACCGTTGGAAGGGGTATGCAAGAGTTCACGATGATCTGTTATGGGATTGTCCTCTCTTAAATAGAGGGAACACCTAGCCTCCTAGGGTACATGAGGGGTGACAGAAGGAGGAACCTCTCTACTAAGTTGGAACTAGAGGGCTAAGAGCTGAGGTCTCGGAACTAGCTATAGAGTAAGTCATTAAGCCAACCGAGTATAGACAAGTAAGTGGAATGTTCAATAAATGTTCTAGTGAATGGCAGAGAATTCGAGGAAACACATGGAAGTTCCAATGAAGGATTGAGAATATGTGTAGGTGACTCATGTTCAAGAAAATGCATAGTGGAGTATGACGAGGAAAAACATTACCAAGAAGGAGGAAATCATTAAGTTACCTTACCCAAGGTGCCCCACTCTGAGCGAGTACGACATAGTAGGATGTCATCCATAAAAGAAGGCCAGTTAAGGATAAATTAGTGATATTTAGTTAAGCCACTAAGAGCCATGACTAAGAGATTAAGGCTATGTACAAGCATCGGTCGAGACAAAAGACGTGGGTGAGGTACGTTCAAGCCTACCAAGGGCAAGCCACTATTGGAAGCTTTGACCCAAAACAACAACGAGAAGATACTCAACAGAGTTTGGTGACCGAAAATAGTACAAAGCACCAACAGAAGGGTAGTAAAAGTAAAGAAGCAAGGAGAACACCATAGGACGCTATAGGAAATAAAATAAAAAAGGTGGTTGTCGACAGGACAATGAATGCATGAAGGAAGATAGTTGGGATGTGGTCAAGCACCATCATGAGTAGAAGTCGTGGGTGTCATCTGTAAGTCTACCTAGAGAAAGTTTCTAGTGGAAATGTTGGCTCTGAGGTATGGCGAGGAGCTACTAAACTGAGTAGATCAAAACTAGTACCAAGCATCGATGAAGGAGTTGTGGAAGTAAGGAGGAAACCACAAGCTATAATGAAAGTTATGGTGAAAAGGGTGGTAGTTGATAAAACGACAAATTCAGGGAGAAAGATAGTTAGGAAGAGCCGGCGAAAGAATACGAAGGGAAACAAGGAGGCATTAAGGTGATTGCCAGTGGAGAATAAGTTGGACCATAGGAAGCCCATTAAGAACTGAGAAGCTCAATGGTCAACTTTAAAGTAGAAGTGTGGTGGTTCAGAACGGTCGAAGGGAAAACCTTATCTGTCAAGGTACATAAGTGAGAAGAGAATATGGGCACCAAGATGACTACATCGAGGACGAGGGACATATATAACTAGCGAGAAACATTGGTAAGATGAGTCACGAGTAAAGAAGTAAGATTGATATGAGTTTAGCGAACCTGCTAGGATACCCTTAAGTGAAAGCAATACCACCTATGAGGGTGAAATGTGGCGATCTCTCGGGTGCAAATTTCTTGGACGGGGAAACTATACGAGGAATTTCAAGCAAGGTCAAAGAACAATAGAAGAGGTCGTACGAGAACTCCCAAGTTAAACGGTGATAAGGAAGTGTTAAGTTAGGCGCCATGAGTGAAAAAGTACTCAAAATGGAAGGTCATAATTCTGGAAAGAAGTCAAAAAGTTGATCGCAAGCTAGAGAAAGATGCAAAGGATGCCTCTAATGCATACAGAAAGTCGAAGCAGTAGTATGAGGTTTTAGAGTTAGGCAAGAAGTAACAAGAAGATGACCACTCAGTTTATGGTTAAAGGATAAGACGTGGCATCAAGGAGGAAAGTAAGGGATGCAAATTTAGAAGATACAAGGACCTAGGTGACCTATGAGGTCAACCCTAGACGGGAGTTACGTTAAAGGGGTTTTACCATATGACTAGATGGAAGATAAGCCGCCATCAGTGACCTTGTGGTTGGAGAGGGGCATTAACTTCTCATGTATAGGTGCATCCTAGGTGGTGTGAGGGGTTAAGAAGCCACAACAACATTGAAGTTGCAGGGAAAGGAGAGAAGGATTTTAGGCGATGTCGTATAAGTTAAAGGAAATAAAAATCCGCGAAGTGAAAAGGATTACCACAAGCGATGCTTAGGG